ACATTATCTGACCTTTTCTGCTTGATTCATACATATAGGCCCCACGTATTGCTGGCACCATAATGACTGAGTCTCTATGCACTTTGGAGGGGCACATTCAGCTCATTCCACGTCCTTATGTCCTTGATTTCTTTGTACTTTTACAGCAAATATCTCCACTAACGTGTTCAGTACATGGTGGGAGCTGGTGGCTCACACCTCTAATCCTAGCTACTCAGGAGGCTGAGTCCTGGGGATCATAGTTTAAAGCCATCCTGGGCAGAAAAGTCCATAAGATTCTTATCTCCAATAAGTTATCAAAAAAGCTAAAAATGGAGTTGTTCCTCAAGTGTAAAAATATTCAGTCTAAGGTATGTATTACTGTAGAGAAAATGAACCAATGAAGGTCTTCAAAGAAAAGCAACCTACCAAGTTTCCTTTACTTTGGATAATAATCATGTTTTGTGCTATAAAGCTCCGAGTGTCTACACACAATAATTAGTATACACAAGAGTTCAGCAGTGGAGCTAAATAACACAGAAATAATCTGGAACTATAATTTATAAAATATTTAATCTGTAATAGCAAATAAAGATTAAAGTATATATAGGTATTAAGCATATAGTAACATATAACATATATTTAGGTGTTAGTATGTATATGTATATATATATATATATCAAAATCCAAGATACAACCCAAATATATATAGATAGATATAGATATTAGAGAAAATTCCCCATCGTTCATGGAAAAAACTAAGAAGCTGATTGAAAAATTAAATTAAGCAGCTTTATAAGAAAAAGAAAAATAGGTTGATCTATCAGAAAAGTGTGTCTCAAAAGGCACACTTAAAAGAGGCTTCCATATGACTCTAAAGGTACCACTTCTGTGCAGCAGCTCCCCCAGCCTGGCCTGGGGGCCTTGGGGCCTATGGGTAGCAGCCCTCATCATGCTGACCAGATGAGGATGCTGTGCTCAGACAAGACAACTGGCGAAGGAAGCTCAATGCTGAGACAGTGAGCATCTCTTGTCATGTTTAAGCTTAACTGGGTCATTTTCTAGTTTGTTTTGATGGCTTACTAGGTTAAGTAGTTTGTACTTTTTGCAAACAATTTATAGGAAACCCTAACCATTACCTGGACTATTTCTTATGTGTGTACATTAACTAAAAGTTTGACATAGTGTTTTTTCACTTCATTATATAACCCCTAATATGCATAGATGCTGTAAATCTGATAAAATATGATGTGAATGATATTTTATAAAGTTATTTTGTATGGTGTCAATTTTGTTTTGCTTCATAGTATGTCAGCAAAAAAAAAAATAAAAATTCTTCATTAAAAAAAAAAGAGGAGGTTTCCAGTGCCAGTCAAGCTTGGGCATAAATCCACTACAGCTTAGCTCTCCCAACAATTACAATGGAAAACTCTGGACAAGATAGGAAAAGCAAATTCCAGAGTATTCTGAACAGTAAACATCACGTGAATTAGGGGGAGGGGATTTGCAAAGTCGGAAGAAGTGATCCACACAAGGGTGAGTTCCCAAGTTTTCTATTCCATCTTTTGTCTCCTAGCTTTGACTCAAGAGCAGCTCTAGTTGAAAAACTGCAAAAATTTGGAGAGGATAAGAAAAAAGGACCCCATTCCAAGCTGGAGATTATGTAGGAAGAAGGTCACATCTTTCTTATTTTTTTTCTCCCTTCCCCTGCCCTTTTCTGAGGGTGACTTATTGTAGAGTTGCATAGTGGGGGCTCCTAAGCAGGCAAAATTACAAGAGAAATGCCATCTTTCTGGCAAAAGGAGCTTAAAAAGACTCCAAACCCCATGTTGTCTAAAGCATACTTTTTTAAAGTTTTTTCTCTTCTGTCTGACAGGTGTGGCAGCAAAGACCATGAAAAGGGACTTTTGGGAAGCAGAGAGTGGAGTGGGAGCCATGAAGAAATCCTTGATTCTGGGTGTCAGCCAATGTGTGTTTGGGCCTGTCCTAAGCTGAGCATGTGCAGACATACAGTAGCTAAACAAAGTCTGAGGCACAGCTGACTCTGGGACTGCTGCCCACAGTAAGAAAGAGAGAAACAACAGACTAAACTCTATCTAACCCAACCCAATCTATTGATTTCATAGTAGAACAAAAAACTCAGTATTTAGCAGAAGATTTTATCATGGTCCAGAACCTCACAATGTAAGATGCAAAAATCCAAGATATAACCCAAATTACTCAGTACAGAAAAATAGGATCAATTTCCAAAAGACAACAAATAGGTGCTAATCTGAAATGTATAAGAGTTAATAAAGCAGCTATTAAACTATGCTCCAAGAAGAAAAATATTCTTGAAATAGGTATTCTTAACAGAAAAATAAAAAAATTAATATACAAAAAAACTGAAATGAACAGATCGATGAATATTATCAAGGTCACTCAGGGACCTAAGAGTTAAAAAGGAGAGATAGTGTTGTAGAAAAAAAATTTTGAACTTTCCAAATTTAGAGAGAAAAACATAGGTTTATGATTACAAATGGTTTTAAAACTCCAAACAGGATAAATGAAAGGAAAACCTTGTCTAGAGACACCATGAGTAAATTGCTTAAAACCAAAGATAAAGATAAAGCTTGAAAATATCCAAATAAAAACAACAAACTATATATAGAACAATAATTCAAATGACTGCATTTAGAACCATGAGGTCAGAAGAGGATCAATAAAATCTGTAAAGTGCTTAAGAGTTCAAAAAGAAATAGATGATAAAAATTATTAAAATTATATAGTTCTTTCAGAACCTGTCTCTAGATTCATTAAGATCACAAAATAAGTTAACCTAAGATCTGCCAAGCTACTATATTTAAAATCAGGTGGCTGGGAGTGTGGCTTAGTGGTAGATCACTTGCTTAGCATGCATTGAGGCCTGGGTTCCATTCCTCAGTATCACATACACAAAAAAAGCTGGAATTGGCACCATGGCACAAGTGGTAGAGCTCCAGCCTTGAACACAGAGAGGCTCAGGGACAGTGCCCAGGCCCTGAGTTCAAGCCCCCCCAACAAACAACAACAACAACAACTAAAACAAACAAACAAACAAAAACAGGAATGCCACACACCTGGATCTGGCTGCACCTACACAGTTTGGATGGTTGTCAGGGACCACACCCTTCCCCATAGGGGTGGGCAGAAATGGCAAGTTACATTGTTCCACCAATTTCTGGATACTCTCCTCTGCATGAGCATAAGCAGCTCCTACAAGAAATAAAAATGCATGGGATTATTTGGTTAAGCATGCCACTGGGACCCTCAAAATATTTCATATGAAATTGCTTTTAAGATCTCAAATACTCTGTTTATATATGGGCTTAAACACAAAATAAACTGTAACTATGGTTTCTATCTTTGGTATTTTAAAGTGCTTATGAAAGCAGTAGTTTTTAGTTATCCCCCCATAATCTCAATTATTTTGAAGAAATCTTACCCTAAGCAAAAGTCGCCTCTTGTATCTCTTGCTGTTCTTACTTACCTGCTCTATGCTATGGTCCCACAATTCCCCGAACACACTATCTTTACTGAGCAAGGAACACCATTGCTATGAAAGAGGAAGGCTCCCTACACACGGCTCTCTAACCACCAGCAAATCTGTTTTGCAAAATCTGCTATTCTAGGGTGCATGAGTTTCTAAAGCTCTGCAGATCTTTCTATAGCTCTACAATCCTGTGATTGTAAAAGAGCTAATGTTAAAGGGGGACGCAGGCCATCTGTTTTTACAATGTACACCTGCAGAATAACCACATGCCCTCAATGGCATTGAAAACAACTGTTTGTTTCAATGATGCAGGATTTCCTATACAATATAGGAATATATGGGAACAAGTCCATTTCTACTATCATCACAGCATCACAGTCACTATTAATTTTTAGCTATTTAATTTAATGCTATACTCTCTCTTTTCAAGGCTAGAATATTATCCATCTTTGAAACTTATACTTCTTTTTTTTTTTTTT